TCTGTAGTTGTCATAGTAGGTGGAAAGTGATCCAGAAAAAATCAGTGGGGGGAAGCCAGGGAAGTCTTGACTATCCTTTGTTTGCCTGGACCCAGATAAAAGGGAGCCTAGAAGAGGAACAACTTCTCCCAATGAAAGTTATCATGAGCAAATTAAAATAAAATAAAAATGAGTGGTGGGCATTCACTCTAGTCTTAATTATGTTAGTCACTCAGGACTCTTCTGTGACCATGTCCTTCTCATCCTTCACTTCATTCCATTTCAATCTGTGTACCAATTCTTTGACTCTGGAAACTTCTCAATTCTGATCTAATGCCTAAACTTAATACCATATTACAATTATTCCCACAATGGTTCTCTAATGAATTCAGCTTATCTTCAATTCTACTTGGCTCCAATTTGAAACCAAATTCCCTTTCAATGATCCAAGCTCTCTTTCTATCCCTCCAACTGTAGACACAAGTTCTACTCATTAGCCAAAGTCACTCAGCTCTCTAAAATCCCCGGCTCACATCAACTATGAGACAGCCATTTTTCTGAGCATCCTTGAGCTGGGGGCAACTCTGTCTCCCTTTAAAGATACTTTAAAGACATATATATTTTTAATATACAAATATTTGGCTTTGTAAGTCAGTATCACTACTCATGGTTACTTTGGATCAGTATTTTAGGACATACTGGTGATCCCACCAAGACACAGCCACACAATAAGGACTAGCCAGAAAAAGCCAGCCAGTGAATCTTAGCATTACAGAAGGAATTTAGGGAGTTAGAAGAAAAATTCTAAGTATATGAAGAGAAATTGCATGATAACAAAAACTAGACTAGTATGATACTAGGAGCATTCCTTTGGAAATACTTGTATTTTAGCAACATTTTTGGTAGAATTTTAAAAGTGCAATGACCCTACAATATTTCAATTCTCATCATGTAAGCAACTGTTTGCTCATAAGTAAACAATATTTTGCATATCTAAAAACAAAAGACATAAACATCCTATCTTCATAGTTGAAAGGTAAAGCATTTTAAGTTAAGAATTCTTAGCAAAAAAATACACGAGACAATGAAACAAGCAACTTCATTTATGCTTAGGGTTCGGATACTTGACTAGTTCTTGCACTTTGAGATATTTTATAAATGTGTGGAATAAATACATATGCTATGTCCTTCCAAAATTTGAATGTTGCGGCCCAGTTCCCAAAGTGAGAGCACTTGGAAGTGGGGATCTTTGGAAGATAACTATATTTAGATGAGGTTATATGGGTGAGACATTTATGTTGGTATCAGTAGTATCCTCAAGAAGATAAGAACAGCATGTATTCTCTCTCTTTCTCACTCCCTATCTCCCTTTCTCTGAGTACTCAGTGTTCATCTGCAAATCAGGAAAAGAATATTCACCAGGGAATCAAATCAGCTGCCACCTCCACCTTTGACTTCCCAGAAATATGAGATATAAAATTCTATGACTCAAGTCACCCAGTCTACAGTATTTTCTTATGGGCATTCTGGGTTGACTAACAGAATGTATATCCTATAAGCAAGCAAACAACTTACAACTTATTTACTTATATGCCTGCAACTATCACCGATTCCAAAATATCACTGTTTGGCTCAGTTATCCAATGGTGTTGTTTGAATGATACAAGCTAACCAGTTGAAATTCTGTCTACAGTAGAACTGATTTGATAAAAAAAAAAAAAAAAAAAAAAAAAAAAAACTATGCAGAACAGGTAATTCAGGGGAAGCCAGGGAGCAAGGTAAGAGCTAAGCTGGAGAACCCATAATGAGAAGCTGAGTCTAGAAAGCCACAGGATCAACAACAAAGTCTGCAGTTGGAGAATAAGAACAAGCCAGTGTCTGGAGCCTTTGCGTCAAACATGTCAGATGAGACTTATGCTGGAAGACAAACAACTCACGGTAAGTATGTCTCATATTCTTAATTGCCTGTGGGAAATGGCTTGGTGATAATAAATGTCTTAGAATAAACAAATATGGGGGCAGGTAGATAACATGGATTATAGACAAGAGTAATGAATGTTAAATCAAAACATAAACATCTTAAAGTCTAGATAGTAAAAAAATCACAAGCCAAAATATGCATTACAGTAAACACTAGAGGGTTAACCTAGCAGCCATAGGAAACTAAATTGGTCCAGAAATTAAACAGTAATAGTTTGTTTTTCAGTATAAACCAAAATATCAGCAATTAAAAACTATCACCAATCTGGGTGGTCATAGTTCACAAGACACAAGACATCCTTCATCCGGTTGTAGAGATTCCTGTTCCAACTTTTTGTGGGCACGCACAGTAGAGTTAAGCAAATTGCTAAGTGCTTTTGTGGTAGAGACTTCTTAGAAAAATGTGCATCTTCAGAAAATCATAGCAATGAGTTAATTTTAGTTTCTGGATGCCAACTTTTAGTAACTGCTAAACTTCTCCACCAGATAGCTGCTAGTATGCAGTTTATGTGAAAGTGAACTGCTGTGGGGATTGTGAGTCATTTGACAGTAAGAACCACGAAATGACATATTTGTGTAAGTCTGGGTTTAGCCAGGAAGAGTCCAGTGCACAGCTGAGAATCGTGACTGCTGGGAGGGGGTGGAACTGTCAGCAGCTGAGCTAGAGAAGCTGGCTCCGCAACCCGGCTGCCCCTGGTCGTAGATTTACAGGGCTCCACTCACACAGGAAAACGGATTGTTTCCCCATGGTGACTGCCTGCAAACTGCAGATGAGTCTGGCTGATGCATGACGCTGTTCCTACCTTCTGCTCAGGAGAAATGGATGCTGTTTATGGCCACACCATTCCTCGATGAGAGTTCTCTGACTCACAAAGTCTATTAAATGTGATAATTTAATGTTGTGGAATAGATTAAAAATTTGGGCAGGTACACAGGACATGTACATGAACAAAATATTGTTTTCATGACATTTTTTAGTGCAATCTTTAAAAACTGTAAGTATGATGGGCTAATCTAACTAAATTTCAAAATAATGAGCTTAAGGGGCCCTTCCTGGTGGCACAACAGGTAAAAGCACAGCAATATGAAGCTCTCCAAAGCCACTGCAGCACTAGTTTGACCCCTGGCCAGGGAGGTAACCCACATGGTGTGGCAGACCTTTCCTGCTGCTCCCCCCAGCAGTGTACTTCAGTAGATCTTCCTGTCTGCTCCCTACTCTGTCTCTGGCGAATCCTCTCAATGCCCTCCTGCACCTCTGGCCTGTACCCCAGTTCTTGTATGCATCAATAAATAAATCTTAAAAAAAATAAGCTTAAACATTTTAGGAGTAAGGATCAGTTCATTCAGGATTGTAAGTGTGGGAATTAATAAAATATGCTAAGAATGTAAACTTTTTGAGGATTAATTTCTAAGTTATACAATTACCTGAAAGATAGAAATTCCTGGGCAAATTCAGCAATGATAAATATGTACTATGTATTTAAATGAAAATATATAGCTATTTCCTCTAACTAAGCTGGATGTCCTCTGCCTCTTGTGATGTCTACTTAAGTCGGATAATTTCTTTCACAGATTGAAACGTTTATTTTTTCACCTGTATGCAAGAATATTTAACATGTTTCTGAAAAGACCAAAGCTATGATAATAGGGAGTGATAACTGGATAGCTTACAGTATATCCTAGCACCCATAAACGTTCTCGTTTCATTTATGTAGACAAAAGAACTGGAACATAAACACCAGAAATCCTTGATGATTTTTACTTCTAAAACATCCAAGATATATGCAAAATTAACTGCATTGCCAGATATTTACATACTCCTAACAAAAGTTTACAATTTCCTGCAAAAGAAATGTACTAGCTGTTTCAGGATGTGGGCAAGACAAGTATGTGCCTGTGGTGGTGATTTCCCAAACAAGAAAAAAAGTTAGAGTGAAAAATCTTTGCTAAGTCTCAGAATAACAGTTCTGATTTAGAAAAAGTATATAGAGCTGTTTAAAAAATAATTTACAAATATTGCACGAACCATCAAAATCTACCAAGTAAAATAATTTCAAACGTAACAATGGAAAGAAAAACCTTCAGGAAATTTGATATTATCAAAGCACTTTATTATATCGCATTTTACTTTAGGTTGACACACTAGAACTACTAGTATATCCTATAACCATATGAAACAAATATCTCTCCCTTAATGTTCTAGTCAACCCAGCACTTAAGGACTGGTCACCTGAGCCTCAGAGTAGCGATGGCCAGTGCCAATCCCTGTTCCTTGCTTAAGGTTTTTCAGCAGATCTTTCAAAAAGCACATTGAACAGAGGGGAACCAAATAAGATATGGGGGGAAAATAACAATACAAAACAAAACAACACAGACAATTATAAACTGGAGATTTCCTGTTTTGGGGAGGGGTGTTGGGGGAAGGGAAGGCAGGAGGAAGGAGTGTAGGCACAGAGGTGATGGTGTCTGAAAGGTAAATTGGGGAGGAAATTCTATGGGCTCTGCACCTGGAGTGGGAAGTAAACATTGTTTTAAAACGAACAACAATATATAGAAATAATTTTTTAAAAGCACAATTGACACCTAATAGATTCTTTTTTTGAACCTTTGAATAAAATTTTGTTTGAATCTATACTATTCATAAAACTCAGACTACTACTTCCACTTACCTTGAAAAACAATATATTAAATATGTAAACTGCTAACGAAATACCTTTGAACAAGGGTTTTTGATACAAAGATAGCACATACAAAGAAAAATACTAGTGAATAAAGACATTTTAAAAATTCTGAATCTACTGCCCAGACAATAATTATATTTGTTTGGTTTACTGTTTCAACCCATTTTTCTAATATTACTGTGAGTAACAAGTATCAAGTTATGATTAGGCTAAAATTTAATACTATAGTAAAAGCTAAATCCAAGGGGAGGTGCAGACAGTAAATGTCCCTTTTTATTTATAGGAATAAAATATCAACAAGTGATTATTAAAAAAGCATTTGTTACGTTGCATTCTCTTTAATTATCCATACTAGTGTACCTTATATTCTTTGTAGTCATTGCTGTCTAGCAAGTCCCTTTTCTCCAGTTCTGTCAGTTGTTCTGCTGAGGGCTTGGCTGGGAGATGCTTAATAGAGGCTTGTTCATATATGGGCTTTCCATTAAAAAACAGTTCCTTCCAGTCATGCATCAACTTATATGGAATCAGACTATGACAGAAAAGCAAAAAAGATGGTAGAGATGAATCAATGGTTAGTCAAATATATCCCTTAAACCTTGATCTTTCTATTATTATATTAATTCGTTATTATAATCGACACATTAGAGATACACAGAGAATGCAAAAAGATGAGATTGCAAAGTAAACACCATTGATTGGGTCCAGGGTCAACTCCAGGGTCTACTATTTGAGACCAGGAATCTCATTTGGCATTATAGTGCTAATGGTTAGTAATATTCTGGAACTTAATAGGTTTAAATGAAAAAGTGTTACTTAGTTCACAGTTCTTCCTTTTTGACTATGCACTAAAGAACATTACATCTAAAAATAATGAGCACTATCATAAAACTTACATGCTATGACTCGCAGCTGTGGTGTTAAATGACTGCAATCAGGAAATCATACAAATGCTTAGTACATTTTGCCTGAAAGTTATTGCCTAATAAACGTTTTCTAGCTTGCTACGTTGTTCCTTTACCGGTCCTATGGCTAGAGGGGACAGGATTTTGTTGGGGCTATATTTTTATCTGCACCATTGGCATATATCTAGGTTGCAAAACTTCCACATCTCAGCCTGGGAGCAGTAAGGCAAAAGAACCCAGGAGCTTGCCATATTCTCAGGTCATGAGGCTACAACCCAGTAACACTTCTCTCCACCTTTCCAAATCTTATTTTCTTCACAATCAATGCTGTCTACTTTTCAATCTTATATTTTTGCGTTCTCTGTATATCTCTAATGTTCAATTATAAAAATAATACTCACTTATTTGTCAACATTCGATAGTCTGCTATTTTAGTAGACAAATCAAGTATTTGATCCAAAATTTCTGCACATATTGAATAATGCTTTTCGTAACGGGCTTGAGCTCTTTCCACAGCAATCTGTTCATGAACTTCCTTTTCTCTGAGTGCTTGTTCTTCAAAATCAATCTTGGCTTGTTTTGCCAAAGCCTTGAAGACAAAAGATATTTTAAGTGGGCATAATTGTGCAGTAATTAAAAAGAAAATAATGTCATCATTTCAATAGCCAAAAAGAAAATCTCAGATAGAAGGACACCTCTTTTTATACCAGGAGTGAACACCTTCTCCTTAATATGTTATGAGCTAATGTGATGGCAAAGACGTCTGCCCTTAGCTAGTCACCAAAACACAGTACAAAGTGTTCTAGATGTTCGAAAAAGCTCGATTAGGTTAATGATAAATTGGATCTTAAGTGTTTTTTTTTTTTTTAAAAGTATTGCGTGTGCAGGTTGCAAAGAATCAGAATTGGGGATCCCAGATTATTGCAGAAATAGACAAATCTATGTCAGGTCCCAACCATAGTTGATCCCTTTGGACAAATCCCAAGGTGCTTAATCAGATATACCTGCTCTGGCCAGTGGCCTTTGGTTTTCAGTGGGGGAGTTTAAGAATACTGCAAGTATTTTGGAAATTCTCTGCTAATATATTTGCCAATAAATGTTAAATGTGTTTAGGCAATGACAAAATTCTTCTGCTATTGCAGCTTGAATAATTTGATAACAATTCATTCATAGAAACATCAATTTCAGCAGGAAGTAATGAAATAATTAAATTCTTGGTCGTCATCCTGTGCATGGCTGGCACTGTTAATTTGTCTAGGGGACCCTTTTTTCACACAAAATGCAAAGGCCAAATTCAGCCCAGACAAGCTGAGAGTAACACAATAATACTCAAATTAGTGGGAATCATATGACCAAGCCTTACATTTCCAATTGAGATACCAGCAACTTGAGAAATTCTATCCTGTGCTAACATGCTTTAGAAATAAGACTTGCCTCCTGGAACTTAACCCAAGGAGTGTAAAATGGAGGTAAATGTGAGCTTTGGAGGAACTGAGGTCAAATTAAAGCCTATCTGTACACTCAAGTCAAGTTCTAGTTGTGAATCCTGAGCAAGCAGGCATCCCATCCTCCCCGCCTTCAGATTTCTTGTCTTTGATGCAAAGGTGGGATGTTAATAAGACCTGACATTTGCAGAAAAACTAATCGAATCCTCTTTTCAGGCAAACATTTTCCTTCATATGGTTCCCAAGAGACCGAATGCATGAACGGCTGTGATTCATATATTACTGTTTTGTTTTTGCTGGGAACAGCGTTGTGCTGGGTGACCTCTAAGGTCAGTTCTGTACATTGATTGGTTTGGAAATGAGATCATTTCGTGGCATTGTTTTTCTAAGCCCTGTTTTCAGGGGAAAAGCATAGAATTCAGGCTCAAAGCTCAGTGGCATGCTTCATGAAGTGTGACGTTCAGAAAACTCTTGTAATGACATCTAAAATGCCACTTGCATGGATTTTGAATCTTTCCATTCCAATCTAGACTAATGGATTGAATAAATTTGAAGTACAGCCAGTGGAAATAAACAAGAAGTGGTTCTTAAAATTAATCTATTTTGGTCACTAGAACCCACACATTTTTTTTCATAGCTGTACTTATATACATTAATGCTTACAAGTATTATGCATTGTTATATAAATATTATAAAAATAGATGTCAGTTTACTGAATAATTAAATGATGGATATTATGAGCTTCAGAGCTATAAAAGGACTCTGACACCATAGTAGCCAGGAGCATACCTCATATCCATATCTTGGTCTCTATTTGCCATTCTCAACTACAATGAGCCAGAATAACCTAGATAAATGAGCTGCTGTAGTTCTGAGGAAGGCATAGTACAATATGCTTCTGGGAAATAATATTTTATTAGAAATCATGGTGTATTGGTGTATTGCTAAAAGGAGGCCATTAAACTTAGTCATGCTGCCTGCAAATCTTCTCTGAGAATAACCGATAGCACTACCATTCTAATAAACTTAGAGGACTTAAAAAAAAAGGAAACTCCTTTACACACCTTTAAAAAAAAGAGTAATGAACACAAAGAAATGAAAATCAGAGTTATCATCAATTTTTCTGAAGCAACACTTTATACCTGAAGAATACAGAATAACACATTCAAGGCAAAACATGAACCAAGGTTTTTATATAGCAAACCTGGTTTTTAAAAAATGCACATGCCATCATCAAAATACAGAAACACAGTGAGTATTGTTCCTGGAGATACTGCTGAGAAGCCTGAATACAGTGTTTCAGGAAAGGAAGTGACCAAAGAAACATGGACATAAAAGGACTGACGGAAAGTAGTCAATATTCAGATATGTGTAGCATCCAGTCGTGGGGGGACGCTGTGGTCCCCACAGTATAGGCAGAAGAGAAAGATCATATAAAATGAATTCTTAGTAAGTGACTGGCAAGCAAACACGACTTGGTTTCCCATGACTTGGTAGAAAGGAACAAAATTAAACTGAGAAAGGTTTTTAAGGGAGATGGTTACCGCCTCTCGATCAAGAGCATCCTGGAAATCTTTCAGTCGTCTTTCTTCATATTGTTTTTCTCTGAAAATTCTGTTTTGCCATAAAACTTCCTTCTCATGCCGCACGTGCATGAGCTGCACCGCGATCCTGCGCTCCTGCTGGGACTGCCGCATCAGGCGGTTAATCAGCTGTTCCTCCCGATAGGCCTCCTGCAACCAGCAGCCAAAAAGCCAGTTATCTGTGCAGGCCACGTGCAAAGTGGGCCAAGAAGCTTGTATACCGGTAACGTGGTACCTTCACACTACTATGTGTCTGGTTATAGGTTTACTCCCCAAAGAGAATGAGAGCAGTTCTCATTTTTGTTTTTTGTTTGTTTGTTTGTTTGTTTACTGTCATATCTCTGGGCCTAGGATTAGTACTCAGAAGTTACACCGTAATAAAAGGACGGCTTTTTCAACAAATGGTGCTGGGAAAGCTAGATGTCCACACACAAAAGAATGAAAAAGTATCCTTCATAGAACCCATGCAAATATCAACAGATTGGATCAAAGATTGACACATAAAAAATGAAACTCTAAGACTACCAGGAGGAAAAACTTATTGATACTGATCTAGGCAATGATTTTTTGGATATGACCTTTAAAGCAGATGCAACAAAAGCAAAAGTAGACAAATAGGATTCTATCACATCAAAAAGCTTGGGTCCATGGAAGGCAACCATAGACACAGCAAAGTGGCAACCTTCAAAATGGAATGAAATATTTGCAAGCTATAATATTAGGTTAATATCCAAGACATATAGAAAATTAAGCAACTCAGTAGCAAAAAACCAAATAACCCAATTAAAAAATGGTAAAGGACATAAATAAACATTTCTCAGAAGGAGATGAACAACTGGTCAGCTGATACTAATCATCAGGGGAATGCAAGCCCAAACCACAATATGATGCCACCTTCCATCTTATAATAGCTATTTCCAAAAAAGACAAGAGAGGGGCCCTCCTTGGTGGCACAATGGGTTGGGATGTAGCACTGCAAGCTGGCTGAAGCTCTTTCAATGTGAGTTCGATCCCCAGCCCTGGAGGTGACCCACATGGCACTGCAGGCCTCTCCTGTCTTGCCCACTGCTCCCCTCAGCAGTGTACTTTATTGATATGTCTGTTCTGCTCCCCACTCTGACTCTGGTGAAGCCTCTTACCGCCCCTGTACCTCTGGCCTGTACCCCAGTTTTGTATGCATAAATAAATAAATAAATCTTAAAAGACAAGAGAGAGCAAGTGTGGGTGAGGATGTACAGAAAAGGAAAACCTTGTAGATTATTGCTGGGACTGTAAATTGATATAGTCATTATGTAAAATAATATGTTTCACAAAATATTAAAAATAAAACTTTCACGCTCCACCAATTCCACTTCTGGATGTATATTTAAAAAAAAATAAAATGAGAGATGTTTGCACTCTCACGTTCATTGCAACATTATTCAGAATAGCCAAATGTGGAAATAGCCTATCTGTCAATGGATATATAAATAAAGAAATGTAGTATATTTGCAAAGGATATTATTCAGCCTTTAAAAAAGAGGGAAATCCTCCATTTGTGATGACACAGATAAACCTGGAGGACACTGCACTTAATATTTCAAATCGTATTAGGACAGAGAGCAGAAGAGAGTTTTCAAGGGAAATGTTGGTCAAAGGGTATGAAGTTTTGTTTATGTATATTAAGTTCTAGAGATTCACTGTATAGCAATGTGACTGTGGTTAACAATATTTTGCTGTCTTCTTGAAAGTCACTAGAGTAGCTTTTTAATATTTTCACCAAACACACACAAGATGGTAACTATATGACAGATATGTTCATTAGTTTGGTTATGTGTAATATATGAAAATATCATGTTGTATACCTTAAATATACACAATTTTCATTTGTCACTTTTATACATCAGCAAAATAATAGGGGAGTTCCCTTTTAGCTCTAAAATACAATATATATACATATGTGGTTGACACAGATTTTAGATTTCTCCTTTGTCAGTAGCTTTTATTATAGTCAAATGCAGATAAAATTCACCAATTCAACCATTTTTAAGTATGCATCATTGGTATTATGTACATTCAAAATGATGTATGACCATCACTGAATGTTAGATTCTTTAGTAGAGATTTTATCTAAGTTTGTTTCTCTGGGTATATTTGTCATGATATAAGAACATATAATCAACATTTGAGTCAGAGTGGCAGACACTGAATACAGGAGTCACATGTATGTGTGTAAAAGACTAGAGTTTGTAAAATTATTAGCACTATTATTTAACCAACATATAAATACATACCTCTTGTGCTTCATGAGCTATTAGTTGATCCATTAATAGTCTCCTCCGTCTTTTCTCCCTTTGTTCTCGTGCAATAGCATCTTCTTCTAGGCGTTTTTGGATTTTTTTAATATATTCATCATCCGAGTAAGTGTTTAACAAATCAGTAGTTGTCTGACCTGTTGTGTCTAAAGCCGTCTTGGATGCACTAAGAACAATAGTTTTTATTTTACAATAGTGAGATCACATGCCACCACTATGGAGAAAGGCCTTAGGAGAAGTCAACTTTGAATGCTTTGTTAACTATCAATACAAACATTAAAGCAGATATTAGAAGTTCAGTGTGGACTCATTTCTGTACTCTGTCTCTGTGAGGTCCTTAGCAGGCCTTCTTACTAAACCTATCACTACTTGTCCTTTTACTTCATATAATCTTTGCTATATCCAAAGATTCTAAAATTCCTCTTCTTCCTGCTGATTTGAAATCTCTTTACTCCCCTGTTTTGAGTCCATATATATATGTAAGTACCAAATAATCAATCCCCAACTGCATTTCTCTTGTATTTTATTTGAAAACTAAACAGAACATAATACTATAATGGTTTAAGATATCATGTTAATTACCAAGAAATAGTGAGTTTTTATATTGTCAATAATTAGTGTTTTTAATGTTATAGTTGTTAATACATTTGGCTTTAAAACACAACTCATAAAGACAAGGACGACACATTAATAGGTGTGTACAGACTAAACAGAAACCAATTTCCTTATGGATACAAGTACTCATAAAACCTTAATTCATGTTTAATGAATAATCATGTGTTTACATAGATCATATCGTATTGTAGGCCAAAGTGGAGTCTCAGATGAGGGTCTCACAAGCAGATGCGATTGGCTCAGAGGCTCAGCTGCCCTGTCCTACTGCAATGAGAGGTGGGGACATCAGAGCTTATCAAGAGTTCATGGCCACTCCTCCCTCCATGGGAAATCTGTGACAGGAGTAAGCAGACGCTTCAGCCACAATGCATCCAATAAAAAGACTACACGCACCCTTTCTTTTGGGATGAGTTCTGGCCACTCAGATGTAGGCTGAAATGTTAATTAGTGATTAAATATTAAAAAAGTTGACATCCCACCTTTCTTTTGCCTGAAGATCCTTTTTTATTAATGCTTCAAACTTCTTAATCTCATTGGCCACATCCTTGAAAGAAAATTCAGCATCAGTTCTCCACCACTAAAATCTATTGACCATCTTCACTGACCATATTCATTCAAGCTGAAAGGTGGCATGCACTATGAAGTCAAGCTGACTAGGGGACAAGATATGGCAAGTTGCATCCGAGAGTATTTTTAAAAATTTCACCTTTCTACTTTCAGACTAAGCTAAACATATCTAAAAGCATGCCTAGTGAGAATTATTCTGTTTATAGTTCTAGTTCTGACAGTGTATCAGCAGGCACTTAATGAGAGTATCAGAGTCAAAATATGCATTTTTACTTGTAATTCTCTTAAACAAAAAAAAGCACTTTTAAACATATGTGCTTCTTGAAAAATTAGTCTTAGATATTTTAAACATTTTTCATGCAACCCTATTTATACTACTAATTTGCTCTCGAAAAATTAATTTTAGCTCACCCACTATCTACTGCAAATCCTAGTTTAGTCAACTCTGTGAAATATAAGAATATGATACTTTACTAAAGTGGGATCTAGAAAAGTGCCTTTGTGTGTGGCAATTTTTAGAATCTAGTAAAGATTTTTCAATATTTGAAAAACAAAGAAATGTGAATTACATAAACTGCAATGGATTTAGAAATACAAGAGATTTGTCAGTTTTTGTCCTACTAGCATTTATCATTTTACCAGTGAACTTGGCTAAATAGGTTAGTTTTCAGAGTCTCAATTGTCCCATCAATAAAATGGGAAAAATAATACTGAGAATTATTTATAAGTTAAAAAGAATATGAAGCAGTTAATTCCCAGCCTGACATATAGCAGACTCTCAATAAATGGTAGCTGTTACTTTTTTTCCATAGGTCTCCCAAGTAAACATCATTAACATTCACTGTTGGCAATCTGAAGAGGAGATTCTAAGCACTAATATCAAAAAGTAGTCATTGTGGCTCTGTGAAATATAATCAGATTATATTCTATTGAAAGAACTGGTAGTTGTTATGGTTTTGCAAAATATCATGAGATTAGCCCTTAAATTTCAACATACCTACTGCTAGTGAGCAAACCACTTAATGTTTCCAGGATTCAAAGGAAAATAGAACAGTCTGGAAAAGCATGGCTGAACAAAAGCTTACAGGAGGAGTGGTGCATACCGTATGACTAGCTCCTGCTTCACCCACATGACAGCAATGATTCTGGCTTAGTCAGCCAGAGACCACAGAATCCTCAATATAAGACTGCAGTCAACCACCCTCATTTAATACAAGTGTGTCATCCCTGGCCTCAGCTCTGTCCTTTGCTTCGGAACAAAGGGTGGTATAAAATGGATTGTATATGCAGGCAACAAAGAGATTCTGAATGGCAAGGGCTGAAACTAGAGATAATACAACAAGGAAGGATGCTGTTTGGGGATGTCTTTAGAAATTAAGGGAGAGATCATTCTTCCAAGACAAACACAACAAAATATTAAAGATAATCGCTCACCTCTGCCTCTCTTTTCTTTTTCATCATTTTTTGGACCTCAAGTGCCTTCATGGTACGATTCGATGCAGGTTTGGGAATCTGAATAATAGCGGCTTGGATTTTGGCCATGATCTCATTCTGTCGTCTTCGGCTCAAGCGTTGCTGGATATTCCATAAACCTCATTAGTTCATCAGGTGAATAGGCAATGGTATGCACTCACAGGCACACATACATTACAATTTTTCCACCAAGGTTTTCAGAAATCAGCCCACGGACTAGGTGTTACAGTTGTGTAATGTTCTGATACAATGTAATGCCAGGGGGAAACCTGACTCTTTAGCAACTGGCTGGCAAGTAATGGGATCATAAGATCTTACAGAGTTTGTCTCTCATCTTCCCTTCCCTCCCCACAAAGAGTTAGGGATATACAGGATATATACATTTTCTATCATTCTAAGTATATAAATGAAAAAAATGATCAATAGTGTGATGAGGAAAACCATCATTATTTTGCCCAGAGTTTATTCACCCATATACCCAACCACCTGAAATTCCCTTAAAAGTCTTAAATGATTCTACTCGCAATTGTCCTCCATGTCCTTAAAGGTATAAGAGATTATTAAAGATTTTTCAAAGGAATCTAGAAGCAGCAGGGAGTGAATCACAATAAAACAGGCTAGAAAGATGCTAAGAGATATTTAAGGAGATTGGAAAGGAAGGAATGAATCACGCCGCATTGCCAAGAAAAGAAAAACAGGTAGAAAGGCCACACAGGCTTGCAGAAGAGGGAGAAGAGGAGGAAAGGTTCACCTTTCTCCCTCAGTAGGGACAGTGGCTGTGAGTGCTCGCTAGCCTCACCAGCAGCAACCCCCAACACAAAAGCACCTGAACCATTAATTTCTAAATTTCTAAATTTTTTTTTGAAAAATTTCAAGCTTCTCAAAATGCATGTTGACAAAATCTTTCATTTGTTTTTTTTTTCTTGAAACCTTTGGGTAATCCACACTATGTTGAAAATCAAGTTTAAATGATTTCAAGTTTCTATGTCTCTAAGTGATATAAGCATTTCAAAAGGTTCTGTTATCAGAGAACAAAGAGGATACTGGCATTATAAGCACACATGAAATTTGCCTTCAAAATAAAATTTCTATGAAGATTGGTGATGGGTGAGATAAATTCAAGCCCCGTATTTACGTCAGGACAATTAAAAAATGATCTAAATTCTTCTTCAAAATAGTCTCATATATACTTTAAATTTTCTCCCTGAGCTTAATTTTCAATGACTAGCACTTGAATACTTGGAGATACATATTCATAAAAATGTTACAAAATCAATTTCAACACATAAGAGGTAATATAAGGAGCCATACATTTCTGTTTCTTAAGCCTCTTCCCCATAAAAATTGAAGAAATATTAAAACTTTCAGAGCACTGGAAATGAGAGTGCAAAAGCATAAGAAAATGAGCTCTCAGATGATTAGGAAGTGAGACATAGAGCAACATAGTTAATGTGTTTAACTAAAACTTTTGTATCCAAAATAATCTCCTTTGAAACTGAAGGCTTTGAAAAATACGGTACAGTTGCTGGAGCCATTTCTGGTCTTTCTCTTCTCAAACTGCCTCAATAGCTACTGGCACTAGGTTAGAGGATCACAGGGGGCTGGGCCGGGGGGACGAGAGCTGCCTTTAAGCTCTTAAATACCATCCTGCACTTCCCACTCTTAAAAGTGACCTGGCCTCCATCTTCACAAGGCAGAGAAAATGTAAGATCCTTGAACTCCTTGCTTTTCCACTTCAGCACCTATGGATTGTCTCAACTTAATGCTTATCCCCCTCCAACCCAAGAAATACCCTGAGATACAAAGTAGACTACAGAGATGGCTTCTAGAGTGAGGATGCCTCGGTGTGCAGTTCAGCTCTCCTGCCTACTAGCTTCAAGAAGTTCGGGAGTTACCTAAATGGTCTGTAGCTCAGTTTCATCATTTGTAAAATAGAAATAACTAAAGTTCCTGACTCACAGGACTGCTGTGCGGACCAAAATAAAACATATGAAGGAACAGGGCCTGACATCTCATCTATTCACTTAGAATTTTTAGTCATTATTAATATTATTGCATAAGATACTTCATCTTCCTCCATCTGGTACTGTCAGGGGTAAAGGATGTTCTGAAGGAATTCTACAGATACAAGTTTTGTGTACTCTACCCTCACTCCAGACACCGGAATTATAAATCCCATCATCACCAAAGGGAGGGTTTCTGGGATCTGAGGGTGGAGTTAAGCATCCAGTTTTGATATAAAACCAGACATGAGGGGCAGTGGGGGTCACTTGACCTCATGGCTTGTGGCTTGACTCTTGACTTTTCTCCAGCTCTCAGTGTTATTGGGGTTCCAGGTCAGCAGAACTGGCAGGACACATTGACCAACTTATCTCTTTCGCTTATTCCCTGAGTTATTCATTCCCCTTCTTTTGTAAGTAAACCCTTAATTAACCTTCTTGTGTGTGCCTGCAGTTGAGTCTTACTATCCATCCCTTTAAGCACATGGGTAAGGACCCACAGTCAGGCAACCCATTTGACAATGGGCTGCCCTCCTCGTAACAGTATCAAAGAAAACGGCATCTCTGCCTCTTTCCCGAGACATCTCCACCTTCATCTGACCTGCTGATTTGTTCAGCCTCTTCTCTTCTGCAGAGAATCTTCTTCAATTTACCTTCACCCTGGTCATCTGCCACTGATTCTCTCAAAACAGGCAGGTGCTCCGTCTCCATGTTCAGAAAACAAACTCATACTGGAGCGTCTCTCTCATAGCTACTGTTGCTTTTCTCTCCTCAACTTCCACGCTTCTTGAAAGTATGGTCTGTGCTCCCTCCCTCTTCTCCAATTTAATCTACCACTTACTGTAACCTGTATCTCTCTACTGAAACATTTTTCTCTCCCTAAAAGGTGAGTTTTGAAATAGTTGGGCTTTTTCCTTCTGTTTATTATTATTATTATTATGCAAGTGTCTGCCATAATACAGAAGTGCAACAAGTATTTATTTGGTGAATGAGTGAGTGACTCTGGAAGATCACCAAAACCAACATCAAACCAAACATTCTCTTGTTCGATGTCACACACATAGCTCTTATAACACTTGTTATTGCTGACAGTTTTATACTTAAAAAAAAAAAAAAGAAACAAAAAAACAAACTCACATATATCATCTTCTTGAAGCTATAAGAAAAGGTAGGTTTGGTGCAGGTAGAGACAATCACCCTTGTTTTATAGCTGAGAAAATTGAGACTAAGGCTGTCCTAGGGACTGCCATAAAGTTACCCAACTTGTAAGTGAAGGAGGCATGAGGCAATGCTAAGCTATTTAGCTTTCAGCCTAATCTCTTCCTCTCTCTCCTTGGGGAGGTTGAGTTCATTCTGCTACCAGGTTCATAAAAATGTCCGTTTAGAATAGACACATCTAAAAACAGACCTGGCCCTCACATCTACATTGTCACTGCTGCTTTACAAGTTAAATTTAAGGACCGAATTATTTCCATTTCTAGTTAGTGCTTTCCATCAGTGCAGTTCCCTCCATTATTCTACAGGCCTGGAAAAGCTCATGTGCCTCAATTGCCATAAGGAGCTAGCACAGAAACTAGAGAACACTGCCAACTAAAAAATTCTATCTATTAATCAAAATGCACTTTAATGAGTACTTTCCATGTCCAAAGTTACACTAGAAATATTCCTCGATTCTGAGGAACTAAAAATCTTGTGACAAATAAGGAATGAAAGTTAGCCAAGAATGTAAGCAGCCAGGAATTTCCAGGGAGAGTGAGAATTACCTGCATCTAGGAGTTCCCCAGGCAGGAGCACGAGCCCCAGGAAGATAGCACAGAGGCAGATGGAAAAAAGTTGAGTGAATCAGGAGAGAGATGAAGGCTGAGCTTGGGTGGGAGAGAAAGGAAAGCAGGAAACGCTGCTGGTTTACATAAGAGGGAACAATTGTAGCTGGAACTAGAAACGTTAGAAAAATGGGTTGAATTAAAGATCAGTTAGGGAAAGGTTTTGAATGTTAGTCTAATTTGGAGATAGGATATGTGCAAAATAGAAGGTTTCTGAGCAGAATCCCAACTGATGGAATTTAATTTCATTCCTTTAGCAGTTGATTAAGCTCCTGTAGAAAGTCTGAATGTGGGCAGATTGCTGCAACAGAGCAAAAGGAAAGCAGAGCGGACCTGAGAGAGGCAGAGGTGGGAAGAGAAGAACTGAGGGAAAACCACAGGCTATTAAGCACCAAGGGAATTTGAAGGTGATGTGAACAGGATAGAAGGAGATATCAAGAGGATAAATGAATGGAAAATATTATTTTAAAATGAAGCCCAAGTGTAGGCAATAACATTCAAAAGGGGGATCCCTGAGGACGCAACGTCACATCACATCCCTGGACCAGGCTTTACATTGTGATGAGCTGCTAACGTATCTTTACGGACTTACATCTCGAAAAGCCTCACTCTTCAAATTTTGCAGCTTTACAGCGGTGACCGGTTGCGTGATTTGCGCTTCCACTCCCATCGGCCCACCCTTCTTCTTCTTCTTCTGCAGAGTGATGTATAGTTGATATAAAAGCTTTGTTGCTGCCCCAGGCTTTTCCGTGATGATATTTTGGGCTACATTCTGATCAAACTGCACACCAAGAAGGTGAAGTGTTGGTTCCAAGCGAGAAAAATTACTACGTTTGGCACTGGGGTTCCTAGATACAGAAATATTTCACATAATTGACACGGAAAACAAAGATCAGAGGTACTACTGTGATCCAATATTATGAATTATTTCATGTTCTTTGAAAGGTATCCTTCCTTTCTAAAGTCGCTCAGTCATGTAAATATACTGAAATTTTCCATTATCCTAAAATGCCATGATTTTATTTCTCTTAAACAGCTAAAAAAAAATCCATTAATTTTATACTTTGCTGCTGAAATAGATACCAGAATTTCTACTAGAAGTCAATACCGAAGCATAACTAAATGTTTTCTTCTAAATGGAAAAACTTTAGTGTGGTTTTGAAAAATATTTTGCCCTAAAGGCAAATTGCATTTTAGATGTGTTTCTTCAAATGATAATCTTACTAGAGTCTGAAAATAGTTCTAAATATTGCATTGACCAAGTCTCTTGGGCACTGTTGGAAATCATTAAATAACATCAGCTCTGCAATCAAACAAATTATGACTTCTTTACTATACAACTTACATTTCTAACTTTGTGTCAATAAAGACTTCATAATTGTAAGCTATACTTATTTTTGAATCATCTGTTAGCAAATCTGGTTCATATTAGAAGAAATTCATTAATCCATTCATGTGTTAATTCACTGTTAACTAACATTTATTAAATACATTATGTACCAAGCACATTTATTAAATTTGATGGATTTTATAAATTAATTAAAATGCTACAGAGTCCCAGCCCTTGAGGAATTCATAGTGGGAGAAGAGACCAGTCAACGAGTGGTGATAAACTGCATTGAGGTCCCACATGATCCAGGGTTGTTAATGAGTCTATGAATCCAGTGACAGAAAAAAGGCAAAAGACGGTGCATGCATTTTAACCTGCTATGCCTCTCTGTGATTAAAATGGTGTCATTTCAACCACTGGCTTTCTTTTTCTTTGTCTGCCTAACATTTGGTAACAAGCTTCAATGGGGGAAAACAATGAAAACACTTTAATAGAAAACAAAATCCTACCCCTACTCCTCCTGCAATGATACCTCAGAACCAAGGGAGATGCTATATATTTGATTTCCTGCACAAATTCTAATGTGAAAGGGTTACTCTCCCAATTATTTCATTCTGAGCTATGACATTATTTAGAGAAGACACAATGACCTTTAGTGACCTCAGTTAAATTTTAGAAGTTTATAGAGATCATTTAACACTTTAACTGTATATGCTGCTTCTAATATACTGTTTCTCAATAGATTGCTCTCAAGCAAGGAGTCTAAGTTTTATTTCTTTTTTTGTGTTATCACAAATGCCAATGAAAATCTTATGAGAGCTATGGGAACTTTCCCACAGGAAAAAAATACACATCCACACACACACACACAGAATACACATGCCATTTTGGGTGTTTATAGCCCTCCTAAAATACAGCCTAGAAGTAGCTACTAACTTCGCCTTTAAGACACCGCAACCTAAAAGAATATGGTGTTGGAAAAAGAGAAGAATGATTTCTAAACATGGATAAGGGTTCAGTGTGATGGGAAGGCCAATACCAACAAAAATAACAAAGCAATGCTTGGAATTCTGTTTCCAATCACATGGCATCTTGTTCTCTCTGTTTACTACACTCTTTTGCCAGAAATGTTTGACAATGTATACTTAGTGTATAATCTACACCCATCAAGCCTGGAATAAACTAATTTAAATTATGAAAAAGAAACGGATCTTAGGGGCCCTCCCTGGTGGCACAGCGGGTTAAAGCACAGCACTAAGAAGCTTAAGCCACTTCTGCATGAGTTCGATCCCCGCCTGCCCCAGAGGTGATCCACATGGCGCGGCAGACCTCTCCTGACCCACCCACTGCTCCCCTCAGCAGTGTTCTTCGTCAGTCTGCCTGTTCTGCTCCCTGCTCTGCCTGCACATTTCTGGCCTGTGCCCCAGTTCTATATGAATAAATAAATAAATCTTAAAAAAAAAAAAAAACAGATCTTAGAAGTGACAAGACATGATGAATGCTTCAAATAAATCTTCTTAGCAGTAAAAGCAAACAGTTTTTATAGGTCTTATATCTACTTTTGCAATTTCTCCACAAATGACTTCAACATTTGAGATAACAGATGATTAAGGCAGCGTAGACCATGCTTGGGAGAGCATGACTGTGGAAAAAGAAAGCCGCACCAATGGCGTGTGCATAGCCCCCTCAGCCAGACACCCACACTGCCTTCTGACCTCCCCTCACAGTTGTCCTTCTGCACCCTTCTTATCGAGGAGCCCCTTATGTCTTACCACTATACCTGGGAAGATACCGACTAAAAGACTCCAGTCAGAGCCTTAGGAAAGCCATAACCTTGGACTTCAGAAGTTGAGGTTGAGGGCACCATAATTTGGATTCACCATAAGGAGAATCCAAAAGCAAATATTACTCATTTGCAAATTTTACCAAACAATAACTATACCCAGTAAGAGTGGAGAACTCTTTGGTTTGCATTTCATGACCTCCACTTCCCCTCCACTCCCCCCCACCACACACACCCAAAGCAGTTAAGTCACAATATGACGGTGCTGTTACACATCAGGCTTTAAGATGACTTTAATAGAGTAGCCAGAGTTCCCAGGTATAAGATTACTTCTCTCTGGAGTTTTTAATAGATAGTCCAAATGTCCATCCAATTAGAATTTTGGGAACACAGCTGGTGTGTAAATGGGCAGAGGTCTACCCTTGTTTTAGAATATACTCAACTAATTTAACTTGGTAATCAACAGTTGTTTTTGAACACAGAGAAACCTCTGGGACAGCTTTGCTCTGGAGAGAGAGCATATGATGTAAATGATGACCTTGGAGAGAAGGAGAACTGTATTCTGGGAGAAGTCTTCTCCCTCTCCACTTGCGGCTCTCATTTGCCAAGGGATCACCTCTCTCCCCGCCTTCTTGACACCTGAGAGAAAACATCTTACAAAGCTGCCAGCCACAGGGACATCATGCTCCTTCACATTTCATTCTTTCAGAGAATCTGTTCATTTTCCATCTTTTGGGCTAGACTAGAGATATTCTTAATAGGGAAATTCTGCAGAGTCAGATGAGTTACCCTCAGAATTAAGTCATTTCCAGGGAAATAACTTCACATTATAAGCAACAGGTATACTTAGTTATTTACATTTTAGATCAAAGAAACTTAAATCAAAGACAAACTCCCCAAATCACGGAGTCTTGGCCTTTGACCAAAATGGGTTTTGACAACATGAATACTTTTCCCCACTCAATAAACTATTACAAAGATCAAATCCATGAGCCTAATGATCCCGGATGCTTTAAAGGGGCCATGTGCCCTGAAAAACAAAAAACAAAAAACCCAAAGTGGATTTTTCTAAGAACTAAAAAGTGCTTAGATTTGGTTGTCAGGCCAATTGCACCCCTTTCTGATACTCCCCACCCTGTGGAATTCAGTAACTCCGAGTGTGATCAAGAGTTAGTCCTGTGCACTAATGAAAAAGAGGGCTTTTCCATATGATATCACCAGAGGACATTCCTGTCCAAAGGTGTGGAACACACCCTGTGGTCCCTGTGCTCATTTTTCCAAGTCCCATCCCTGACACAAGGTTGCTTCATCTACAAGGGCACAAGGCCTCACTGATTATAAACACCTATCTTCACAATGGCCCTCATCTGGACAGGGTCCTTTTTTTCAATTCACACAAAGGCCCTGTATGATCCTGCTCACAGAGCCAATTCAGTGAACCTGAAAAGTTGCATGCTAGATCTGCTCAGTATAGTCCTTTCAGTTTCCTGTAGATAAACACCTATCCTTTCTAGCATAATCCATTTATTCCACAGAGAAAAGCTACTATGTGTCTGTTGTGGGTCAATGACAATGTTTGGGGACAAAGAATAAATGCACAGACACACTCTGCAACTTTCTGCAACTTTGCAGATAGATGAGGAGTAAACATTTGTATACTCACTCATCAAACACTGTTAAGGTTTCTTCATGTGGGAGGCACAATGATAACATCTGACATGTAAATCAGTATAATGTGATGTGATATAACTTCTTTGGAGTCAAAGATTTTGAACTGGATCTAACAATGAATAAAGTTTATCATGCTGGAAGTGAAAAAAAATAGTCATATGTAAAAGGCATAAGGCATAATGAAAACACATGACCAGCTACAGACTGGAACAGCTGACGTGAAAGCTCTGGGTTGATGGCAAAGGTGGCTGGGAGGTAGAGGGGTCATATTCCATCTAAGACATGCCTTATGAAAGACAAAGAAACTGGAGTATCTAATTTCCTGTGTTGAACTTTGTAAAGAATCAACAAAATTTTCAAACTTCTAGCTGGACTTAGCAAGAGAGAGAGAGAAGATTCAAATTACTAAAATCATGAGTAAAGAGGACATCATGTAACAGCATGTAACAAATAAAAAGGACTGGATTGCAAGAGTACTATGAACAAGTGTATGCCTACATATTAGATAATTTACATAAATAGGGAAAATTCTCATGAAGACATAAGCTACAGAAATGTGGTTAAAATGGGAAATCTCCATGTGTTCTTCAGGTTTTCTGTGCCTAAAATCTCTTTGAAAAGTATAATTTCAAGAAAGTAGATGGAAAATGTTTCCCCAACAAAGGTATATATCGAAATGTGCTCGGTATCATTCACAATTAGGGACATGCACATCAAAATGACATGGGATGCTCCTTTACAGTCACATGGATGGCTTTAGTCAAAAAGATGACAAGTGTTGACAGGGATATAGAAATACTGCTGTGTGAGCGTAAATGGTGCAGGCGCTTTGGAAACAATTTGAATGTTCCTCAAAATACAAACAAGACCGTGTAACTCAGTGATTTCAATCCTAAGTCTGTGCTTAAAAGAAATAAAAACATTTTTTATAGAAAAATTTCAAATCCTAGAAATTTGACCATGGAACTGAAGCTATGAAAAGGGACAGAAAAAAGGGAAAGCAAAGTGGTGACCTGGTGGACTAGAATGGAAGATTTTCAGGGTCCTGCTGGTGGGTGTGGTATAGTAACATATGCCTGAAGGATGTGTTTCTGTACCTCTAAGTCACATATAGTGTTGTAAACCAATGTCACCTCAATAAAACACACACACACACACACACACACACACACAAGGTTCGTTGCAATACTATTCATAATAGCCCAAAAGTGGAAACTATTATCTCTTGATGAGCTGATAAGCCAACAGCGATATATCCAACTGAAATTATTCAGCAAGTAAACAGGAATGAAGAAGTACTTGGATGGACCTTGGAAATATCCAAAATAGAAGCCAGTCACAAAATGCCACATACTGCATAATTCTATTGATACAATGAAAAACAGTCTGGTGCCTAACAAGCCCTGGGTGGTGCTGATGATCAGGCATATACTAAATATGTAATTGTACATAAAACCATTGGATTGTACACTTTAAAATGGTGAACGATGGTGTGTGAATTGAATCTCAATATAACTGCTAAAGCCAAAAAATATAATGGATTATTTTACTTTTAGTTAAGTTTTATTTCATGTTTTTTTAAGCATAAAAATAAATACTAATAGGCCAGAACATTATATGCTCTTCCACTATTAAAGGAAAGTAGACTCACCTAACAAAATAAGGAGTAACCAGGCTTAAAATTGCAGGAACATAAAAGCTAAAGATGGGCCCCTTGCCTCTCCCACCAGAGGTGAGGTCCTGCTGGACCCCTGAAAATTTTCTCTCTGACTCCAGGGACTAGGAAGCATAGATTTGTGAGGCACAACAATTTGCATATCAATGGGAAGCTTAGCTGGTTAAGGTTTAGAAGGACCATGTGACTGATGATTCCTTAAAGTTAACTTTGGAGGCTAAACAGTTGCCATGCCATAAGACCTTTTTTAAAGTAAGGAATCATCTCACTAACCTGTTTTCCGAAAATTCTGAAAAATCATCCTGAAGTTCAAACTTGTGCAGAACTTCTCCAATGAGATAGCCACTAGAAAATGCCTTTGCAAATGACTTGGGACCTGAATTTCAAAGCACAAAGACAAAAAAGTAACTATAGTGTTGCACATATAGCTCTTGTATTTACATGATACAGCCTTAAGGAAAAGTCCATCATTTAAGTTGAACTCAAAATGCCATGACAATCCTTCTAGAAATATCTTTTATTAACTGATTGAAAAGACTGAAGTTTAACAGTAGACATTTTGTAAAGTTGTCCCAAATAAACTCAGTATCTGATGACATATGACATTTTGAAAGAAAAGACAATTTCTGATTACATTAAACAAAACAGAACTGATGGAAATTTTAAAATATCCTTGGGCAAAATGCTTAACCTCTCTTGTTTCTGTCTCTTGGTCTCTAAAACAGAGATAACTATATCTATGTCTACCTTGGCGAGTTGTTTTGAAAATTAGAGGTAAGGTATAAGAATCACCTGGCTTTTGTACATAATGATAACTGCAGAGAAAACTAGTTAAATGTTGGCTAGAATGTGCTTCTTTAAAAATATCCTTAGTGACCCTCCCTGGTGGCTCAGCGGGTTAAAGCACTGCACTGGGAAGCTAAAGCCACTTCTACATGAGTTCGATTCCCGCCTGCCCTGGAGGTGACCACATGGCGTGGCAGACCTCTCCTGGCCTGCCCACTGCTCCCCTCAGCAGTGTACTTCGTAGATCTGCCTGTTCTGCTTCCCGCTCTGTCTCTGGTGAATCCTCTCACCCTCCGCATCTCTGGCCTGTACCCCAGTTCTGTACAAATAAATAAATAAATCTTTAAAAAAAAAATCCTTAGTTTAGGGCCACTTGTATTTTTCTTATGAAGTGAAAGATGGTATTCAAGGATGGTGTACAAAATAAATTGTATCGTTATAGGACAAAGTCATCATTTTTCAAATAATTTCAAAATCCCCTAGAAATCTTCAACATGTTTCACTAAGCAGTAGCAGTCGAAAGAGTAGATGTCTCTAGCACCACAGTACAAATGCGTGTGTCTCAGATGGCCCTCTTTTATCTATTTGACTAATGATACAGGAACTAGAATGAGTGTGGAGAAATCACACTTTATTCATAATTTGAAGAACTGTGGTTGCAGGGAGGAGGGGTGAGTTACTCCATAAAGACCATTATACAGATTTTACCCAGAGGCCTACAAGCCATCCTCTGAATAAGATTATTTTGCATATCAGTAGTCTTTGGGCCTTTTATACATGGATTTTCAAATATTTATTCTCAAAACATTTTAACCTCAAAATATTATATATTCAATCAATATAGTAATAGTTTTAAAAAGATGTCAACTCTTTCCATTGATCAGTTTGCTTGGGGTGAACTCTTGAACTGCCCAAGATGAAAATCTACTGACCAATGTGATAAGACCTTTCATTGTGTCCATGAAGCACTTTACCAGCAAGAAGCAACTCTGTGTAAGCTCCAAAACCCCAAAATTGCCAGTCATCTAAATCTGTGCTTGGTTATAATTTACATGAAAAGAAATAAAAATCTGTGTATTCTTAAAGCCTACAGTCTGGCACCCATTTGTGTAAATTTTATCAAGTTTTGCCTAAAGTAGACTGGTTTTACCATTATTTTAAAACTATTTTTAAAATTACTACAAAAACATGATACCTGCTTTCATGTGGGCGGTCGATAACCTTCTTCCTCAGCTATATCTGTCCCTCAGACACTGTGTCTTAATTTGAAACATCAATATAACTTCTGACAAGAGAACAGATCCTAACCACCCCCTGAGGCTTCGGCTGTGAGAATTTGGAATTCGGAGCATATGCCAGTTCTGCCAGCATCCAGCTCTGCTGTCGGCCTGTCTTCACCCATGCGGCACCGGAAGCCTGAGCTTTGAACAAAGGCAACAGATGGTTCTGACTTTTTCACATAACAACAGTCTAGGGCCTTTTGCTGCTACAACATGAGGGGGATTAGAATTGATCTTTTATCCTCAATGCCATCTATTCCTTAGCAAGGGCCATCTGGCATCACATAATAGTGGGCTTGGCTTCTCCTTCACTAGAAGAACAAAGATCTAGAGCTTGCATATCAATCGCATCTTAAAAGCCAAGTAAATTCACTTCCACTTAAGGGAGCAAAAAGCAGCTGCTGTTGGCTGGGAACTGACCTGCCCCACCTGGCCTTGATGCTCCTGAGAGATGCCTGCCCTGTGCTTAGCTGTGGCAGGCTCCTGCTGAACAGCACACCAGCATCTGAGGAGGCCACTCTGTGACCATCATGGATGAAGACAAAAACAGCATGTCTGTACTCACATAAAAACAAAGGTGTTCAAAATAAAGATGGCCAAATAGCCCCGGTTCTGGTGAGTGTGACTGGTTTTTCACCAACTGTGGCTTTGCGTTGCTTCACTTTTCTCACTTCCTGGATAAGCTTCATCAAGATGCTCCGCTACAGAATGGTCTATGCTCCTTGACAGGTCCCTTCAGAACAAAGCACAGCTTCCTCGAATCCTCCTTAAAAACATGTAACACCGGCCCTCCCTAGTGGCGCGGCGGGTTAAAGCACAGCACTGAGAATCTAGAGCCACTTCCGCATGAGTTCGATTCCCGTCTGCCCTGGAGGTGACCACATGGTGTGGCAGACCTCTCCTGGCCCTCCCGCTGCTCCCCTCAGCAGTGTACTTCATCGATCTGCCTGTTCTGCTCCCCACTCTGTCTCTAGTGAATCCTCTCACCATCCACATCTCTGGCCTGTACCCTGGTTCTGTATAAATAAATAAATCTTAAAATAAATAAATAAATAAATAAAAACCAAAAAAACATGTAACATCGAGGTACCCACCCTGCCCATCTCCTTTCACCCTTGTTACAAGTCAACAAACCTGACTTTGTTCAGATAAGGTATACCCTGTGACTGACTTTTTCAGTTTTCTTCTTTGAAGACTTGATCATTTTGCCAAGATTTACTGTCTGAAACAAAAGCTCAACTACTATATTATAATCTTTCACACTTAAAATATGGTGTGTCATTCTTTGGCAATTTCATATCTTAAAAATTTGACATTGATTTACATGATAGCCTTCTGTTATTAGATTTGCTGTCTCAATTTTTAGTCAACAGAAGCAAAATTTTAATCAAGGAAAATGCTGCTGAGTTAGCCAGGAAATACAAAAATGTGTTGTATTACATGAGGAGCAATAAATTTCCTGACTATCCTGAGGACTGAAGTATGAGAATATGTGTGATTTAATGATACCCAGTGAAAACAGGAATAATCAAAAAGTAGCAGACACAGAATTTACTGCTAACTATACCACTACCTAGTTGTATAACCATAACAAATGTGTAAACATACTTGATTTAAAGACCGCATATGCAAGAAAAGTAAAAGACATCTAAGGTTCTTTTTCATAGCTAAAGTTATATGACTCTAGGACATTCTAAGGTTGCAGATCAATACCTTATAAGGTACTGTAATAGGTAAATATTCAATGGGATATTTTTATATCTGTAGTCTCTCAAAATAATATTTGACCATTTTGCAAAAATTGGTACATGAAACCAAAATTTGGGACAGATAGAACATAATTCTGTGACAAAATTAGTGAAATTTAGTATAAAAGGATAAACTTACAGATACCCACTTGTTGAAAAAAAATAAAAAAGGCCACAAAATAACTCTTAAAATTCTCAATCATTTATCTGTTTAAGCTTTTCAAACATCATGTAAACTATAATCTTCGGATACATTAATCCTCTTCCATAAACAGATATGTTGCAATGAAAGAATACACAAATATTGAAATGTTGGAAGTTTTTGGAGTAGTAGTCATGATGGAAAATATCACTAAATAAATAGCATGTATCCCCAAGTAGTGGGAAAGGAGGAAAGAATTCAACTCTCTAATATAACCAAACCTAATCCATCTATCTAATCTATCTAGTAAAATCTAATGTAATCAAATCTAATCCATGCAACCAAACCTGATCTAGTTAAAATATCTCTAGAGCAGAAAAGCAAAACAGCATATATTCGCTCGATTTGAGGGTTCTCTTTGATGATACCTGATTTCTGATTGTGAGTGAGCTGCTTGAACTATAAATTTGGTCTTGTCCTGCATGCACCATCTGACCAAGAGAGAGCACTGTGTTCAATGGACAGTGCTATCCTTTTCCTCATCAACTGGTGCCCTGACTTATAAAATCAACAAAATGTAAATGCAGTTAATATGAAACAATCCCTAAAGTCTTGCCTAGAGCTTCTGGAAATACACAGCTAAGAAGCAAACTGCTGAGGGTCACCTTCTTCTGATGAGCAGTTTCAGCCTGCAATAGTGCCTCACTTTTGGCTCAATTATACATTCTCATGAAATAAAAATTTATTTGCTAAATGTCCATTGTGCGACAAGCACAATAGTAAGCACTATTATTAAGCGAGAGACAGAAAAAAGTGTATTGAGAATCTAGATACTTATATAGGTACTAGTGACTGTGATAGATGTTTTCAGTTTATAATTCCATCTGATGCCTCCCCATTGTTCTTACCTCTCATGGTATAAAAATGGGAACTTCAAATTATTGTTTCTACTTTGGTTTCCATGAACTCAAGACTTAGGCACAAGTAACTTTCCCAAAAACAGTTTTCTTTTTATTGTACCTCTGGTCGTGTTTATAACAATGCTTAAGATTGATACAGTTAAAATATACATAATAAGGGCTTCATAATATTCAACATAACCACACCCAAAATCCAGAATACGGACTGTTCTACAACCCAAACGATCTGATCTGAGCAACTCCTGATTTACTTACAGACAATGTTCAGATATGACATTCTGGTGACCTCATAAAAGTTTTATAAAACAGATTCAATTCTTTCTCTTGGGAACAACAGAATACTAAAAGAATTTTATAGCAAATATTTCAGTAGCATTATGCTGTACTGGTTATTTTTCATTATAAAAATAACTGAGTTTCAGATGTCATTTTTTTTTTTTTTGGTGTGTGGAGCAACTTTTTTGTAGTCTGTGACATTTCATTAATATCTAAATACCACTTTCATGGAGAAATGATCTAATTAAACTTGATGCACTGAAGAGCCTTAGCTCTAGAAACATAGATTTGAATCTTCATCGGTTACGACTAATCAAGTCTCTGGAGAGGCCTAGGAACCTTGTTAAGCGGAGACAGACTGCCCTCCATGAGCAGCATTGGAATTCGTTTTCGTTAACACTGGTAGGGTAAGCCAGACAACAGAAAATTATTCAAATCGACTTCTACTTTCCAAAACATCCAGAAATCCATCAGATTTAACTGCCTCTCCAGTGACTGAACCATTATCCAGTCTCATGCATTCGCTTGTCTCTTCTCATGCTGTTTTCTTTGTCCCAGGAAACAACATGTGGAAACAACCACTTCTAAACAAACACTAGGAAATTCACCCTGCCATCTTCACCATCTAGTGTTCCTGTGAGTGGCAGGGTTATACCCTCTGAAACACAGCATAAATTTGTATGCCATAAATTTCACCATAAGAGGGAACTAACATCAAAATGTCATATCTGAACGTTGCCTATAAGTAAATCAGGAGACCTTTTATGTCTGTGCTGCACAGATAAGATACTTTGGGTTGTAGAACAATCTGTATTCTGGATTTTGGGTGTGGTTACATTGAATATTGTGAATACCTTATTATGTATATTTTAAATGTATCAATAATCTTAAACATTGTTATCAGTAGTATCAGAGGGACAATGAAGAGAAAACTGGATTTGGGAAAGTTACTTGTGCCTAAGTCTTGATTTCAGGGTATCCAAAGTAAAAACAATAATCTTTAGGTTTGATTTTTATACCCTGAGAAGTAAGAACAATAATTGCTACCTATCAGGGGAGACATCAAATCAACCCCCATAGAGCACCTATGTAAAAGGCTTAGCCCAGGATTTGGTAGAAGTGCCCAAGTGCTCCGTTAAGCATAAGTTTTATTACTGTTATTTTTCTTTCATTTATAAGGTCAGTTTTAGAAAACAACTCATACAGACACCACCAATATTGTATTATGAAATACTATGATTCAATGAAAGTATTGAGCCTGTTTTTTCCCTACTTTTGCCATGTGAGCTTGGGTCTTCCTTTTTCATTTTTTTTTTTTTTTTAGTGGGAGTATTATACTGAATTTTCCTTTCAAATTATAGGCAATACAAGCGATGAACCAGAATACACAGATGTGTAAAGAAATATCAGCAATCCTTCAGTATAATCAAAACTAATACACATTTTATCTCCTTCCACACTTTTGTCTATGCATGTCTAAGCAACAACATGAAGATTCATCTCTAGACCAACAGTTCAGGACATCTCTCTGCATTTGCACACCAATGCACATATTCACATATGTCTGTGCATGTTTCCTAGTGGGACAAACATGGAATTACACCTCAGAATGAACACTAACTTTTCTTGACAAAAATGCATGGGAATTCTCTAGGTCAAAAGGCATGACAAATAAACTTATTCTTTCTCACAGTAGAATAACAATCCATTGCAAGAATACAGCATCATATATCTAAATATTCCACCACAAAAGGATATGTAAACCTGTTTCCTTCTTTTTTCTTTTTTGTGTCTGCATCTATGTAGCAATGATGATGCTTATTTAAACATCCTTGCACATGATTTTCTTGTATGATATTTCCAAAAGGTGAGATTTAGCATTTATTATGTACCAAGTACTGTTCTCAATGCTTCACATGTACTATCTTATTTAGTCTCCATATTTACTGTCTCATTAGTATCTTGTGTGCTATCTCATTTAGTCTCCATTATTTTAAGTAGCATCAAATGCAGGCAAATAGCTGGCCCAGTTTCACTAGCTAGTAAGTGGTACAGATAGGGCCAAGCAGTCTGGCTCCAAATTCTTATTCTTAGTGGGACTCTCATCCAGAATTTGCCAGTGGTTGTACCTCGTTCTGATCCTTCCAGGATAGTATCTATAAAAGCCATTCAGGCCCTCCCTGGTGGCGCAGCGGGTTTGAGCACAGCACTGAGAAGCTAAAGCCACTTTAGCATGAGTTCAATCCCCACCCCGGAGGTGACCCACATGGCACAGCAGACCTATCCTGACCCACCCACTGCTCTCCTCAGCAGTGTACTTTATCAGTTGGCATGTTCTGCTCCCCACTCTGTCTCTGGAAAACCCTCTCACTGCCCCAGCATCTCTGGCCTGTACCCCAGTTCTGTATGCATAAATAAATAAATCTTTTTTTGAAAAAGAAGAAATATCCAGGATCTCAAAAACACATTAAAAAAAAAAAAGCCACTCAGAAGCTTCCAGTGTATACTGAAAACAATTGATCAAAATATGGGAATTGCCAAGTAGCAATAAGCTTCCCGAGGTGCAAAGATCTTATTTTATTTGTTTGCAAACACATTAAAGTCTCAAAAGCCTTAGAGTAAGGAGCTTGTTTACTTGGGAAATGCTTCTCTTTTTAGATTCCTCTTAGCAATTAGGACTAAGAAGTGGATATATCTTGCTAGTGAGTGGGACACAAAACACTGCAGCTGTCTTTGCTAACAGCTTCCAGATTTACACTGCAAGGAAATAGACATTGGGAATTTTCCAACTGGTTTGTCCTGTTAAAATTCCTACTTTAAAAGTTGCCAGCCTTTTAATCTTCATAAAGTGAAATAATTCTTCCTCATCTAAAAACCAAAATTCCCCTAACTTACAATTCCCTCTAATTCCCCAAACTGACATACTACTGTTTTTATGTTTCTTATTAACTTTATTTACTTTTTTCAAAAGTGTTTCAATATGCAAGAGAGTCCTGGGAACTTAAACAAATGGTGTGGTTTTTACTAATCAAATAAATGAACAAAATTAAACTCAGTCATCTGTAACTGCTTTTCTTTGAAACAGCATAGCTTTAGGGAGTGATAATGTGTTTTGACTGGTGGTGAGAGAGGAAAAAGAAAAGAAAACTACTAGACATTGTTCTGAGGTCAGCATCACAACTTTAGGGCACTGTCAAGAGACACAACAGAACCATCAGAGAATCCTGGCTGAGAACTAATTGCAGTTCCCGGGGAGTATATGGGTGGTGGTTTGGCACAAAAAAAAAAAAAAAAAAAAAAAAAAAGTCTGGGGAGTAAGCCCCAAGAAATGCAATGGGGAGATGGTCCAGTGTTAAAGATCCTGATACTGATAACTGACACTTTGTCACTGTAGGAACACTGTTGATGCAGTAAATTTTCTGGGTCACAGAAGGTTGTGTTGGCACCATGGACCCTCTGTAGCAAGTCTGCATTATGCAAGGCTGCTTCTGAGAAAACAGATTGAAATGATTGGGCGACAAATCTCTTGTCTTGAGCAACAACCATACCAGCTGGGAAACAAACAAACAAAAAAACTGCTGTTGAGGAAACAACAGCATGAAGTTGAGGGCTGTGCTGGAATGAATGGTTTGGCTGCCACAGAAGCTGCCAGCCTGTAAAAAATGCCACTATGGGTGGCAACTTCATGGTTGAGATAAAATCTGCCTCGTAACCAAGGTCCACCTTTGGGCAAAACTGAACAGTGATCAGAAGTAGCTGAAGTTTGTAAACTTTTATCCTACATAAAATTTGCATCTGTTAACATAGTTTGTGTTAACTCATTTCACACTTTCCCTCTCTTCATAGTAGTTAGGGATGGAGAGTATGATGGCATCTGCTTTATACCGATGGAAACGTTCTCGGAGGAGGTAGCTGTAATGTGTCCCGGGCATCAAACCCCACTAGCTTGCCAGCACAACCTGCTTATGAGGATGGAGACAGGGGAGGCAATATCAGCACCAGGCTGCAGAGTACAACAAAATTCTCTCTCCATAGGAGCCAGAGGGTCCTCCCTAAAACCTCTGATTGCTTAGAACCACTAATTAGGTCAGAAACTGCGGGTTTGGGCCCTTGGTGAAGATGGGAAAGTCTGGCGCGTTAAATCAGGGATGGGCGAAGCCCCACTGTGCGGGAGAGAGTGGGGCATGAGTTGGAGAGTGACCGCAGGATGGACCTGGGGGTTGAAGGAGCGGAGTTCCTCGCCTGGGGACGCTGCCTGGCTGGGCAGACACCCCACCAGCACAGCCCGCGCCTTCCCCGTCATCTCTGTGTGCCCTCGGGGGTGCAGCCCCTCTGGCCCGGCCAGGTCACTCACTCACGGTCTGGGACACCTTCACCTCCTGGTTGAGCCACTGGCACAGGATCTCCGACATGGTTCAGCCCGGTCTTCGGATCGCTAGCAGATGTTAGGAACGCGCGGGAAACTAAACCCACGACCCGCGTCCCCCTGTTGCCAAGGACAACTCGTTGCTAGGAAGCGTATCTAGGTCGGAACTAGGTGAAAGGGGAGGACAAGAGAGGCGCTCGAGCCCCGCCGCCCAGCACAGAAAATCGTGTGCCGCCCCCTGCTGGCAGGAACGACCAACTGTGCGCTCCGCGCGGGCCGCGGTGGGTGCTGAGAAGTTGGGCGGGATGGGCGTGGCCGGGAAGCTTCTGAGCTGAGCTGGGGGAATTTGAACCTGTAAAGAGAAGGAGAAAACCTGGTTTGGGAGGAGTCTGTTTCTTTTTTTTTTTCCCCCCTTCCCGATTGTATTTTAAGAAAATCTATCTGAGTGCTTGTTCTGTTGGTTAGTTTTGTCGTTAGTTTGCAAATTCCCAGTTTTAATTGTTGCGTTACAGTGTGGGCCACCTTGGCATGGACTGAGTGTGTCTTACTGACCTTTAGATCCCAGGCACAGCAAGCACTCAATAATATAATTTTTGTTGGTGGTGGAGGAGGAACTAACAAGTAGGATACTTCCTGTCGCTGTATTGTTTTGACAGGTGGATATTTAGTGTCCTACTTTTCTGTTCCATTTTCCTTCATTTTAATTAGTCTATGAATTATTCTGAATTTTTTTTTTTTTTTTTTTGACAAAGACTCCCCTTGATCAAACCAGAACCAGGTATGTCCGAGACCTCTTCTCCCTGTCGTTGGCTCTTGGTTTAGCTTTAGCAAGAACAGGCTGGGCAGACACCCCACCAGCACAGCGCCTTCCCGGTCATCTCTGTGTGCCCTCGGGGGTGCAGCCCCTCTGGCCTGGCCAGGTCACTCACTCACGGTCTGGGACACCTTCACCTCCTGGTTGAGCCACTGGCACAGGATCTCTGACAGTTCGTCAGAAATCCCCCTACCTGCCACAGCTCAACAAAGGGTTATGTTCCTCTTTGGTCTGCCTCAGCCAGAATTCAGTCTGGTTGCTTTTGCCAGAATCCCCCTTCACTCCTGATGTTTCCTCTCATTAATTTTCCTTACATTGACTCCACGTCCTGTTTGTTGACCATAACACCCTCCGGACTTATCTTTTGTTCAGAGGTTTCCTCGTGTTCCCCCACTCAGAGTCCTATTGTGATTGCTTGAATGTGGGTTACCTTACTGCCTTTCATAAGCTTCAGAAAAAATTTTCTTTAACAATGTTTAAATGTTTACATGGAAAGATGGGGCGGTGGGGGGTAGGGTGGAATGCACATTCATATGTAGCCTGGCTCAATGACAGAGTTAGATAAAGTGATGACTGGAAGGAAACAGCCCAACGGAGTTCCAGTGAATACCACTCCAACAATCGCAGATTTGAGTTTCGTTTTCATAAATAGGAGCAGTGAGTCATTAATGCAAAAAAAAAAAAAAAAGCGATTAATCTTGACCCAGGTTCTTCTGATCCAGAGTTAAAAAAAAAAAAAAAAAAAAGCGATTAATCTTGACCCAGGTTCTTCTGATCCAGAGTTATTTTGACCTAAGCATCTGCTGAGGCATTGAGGTTTACTCTTTTCCTTTTTGAAGAATGCACTGTGGAGATGCAAAAGCTGAAGACCATTTTAAATATTTTTTTTTCTATCTATCTCCTCGGTAAGTGGAGATTGAAAGGCTGGTTTTACCTGCAGGCAGCAGGTTTTTGCATTAGTTGCTTCTCTTCAAATTTATGCAAATGACTTTGTTCTCCTACCTGGCAGGCTAGGGAGAAGGGTGTTCCCAGGACATTTTAAGGTATGTTCACACACTCCTGCAGGCAGTGTATTATATGTGTAATAAGATAAACCTCACAATTATAAGAAATGCCCTCCTCCCAAAGATCTAGGTACAACAAATCGTAATTCTTTTTACTTGTAGGAGCAGTAAGAGTAATATCCTGTCAGAACAAATGTCCCCGAAATTATTTGATGTTTGCCCTGAAATTTCAATGCCATTTCTTCATTTACTTTAACCTTTAAGTGTCTGGTCCCAGGAGTTTCTTCACACCAACACAGCAGGTATGACTATGGTGGGAATTCTGAGAGAGATGCATTGCCCACAGAATTAGAACCTCATACATGCTGTATGACTCTCAAAAGTCCCGATAGCTTGGGGAATAGATCGCATAATGCGTTATCCTTAGGCAACCTGTCACCTCTGAAAATGCTTCTAAGGATGGAGAGGTGTCTAGAAAGGGTCTCGGGGGTGTCGCTTTCTGCTGTCCTAGTGGAATATTTAAGCTGGTGATTACATTTAGGAAGTGACAGTAAGCTGTGGTTTCAATCTATAGAAGCTTAGGGAGAGAAGCCCAGTGTTTTGCAGACTGTTGAGGAGATTGCTGTAGGGGAAGGGTGTAGGAGAGATGATGAGGCACCTGACTTCCCCCTGACAGAAGAGGATGTCTGGGTCTATACATCATTGGAGATTTGGGCTGTGATTCCCACACCAAAGTGAAATACTCCTTAGGACTGTTGGCTTGTAGTTTATTTCAATGGTTATTTATAGTGTTTGGAACCCTTGTTCAAGTTACATAGTCTATGAACTATGTATTGGAAATACAGACACTTTGCAAAGTGTGAAAGGCAAGGTCTTTTATTTCACAAAAGAACACTTTTTTTTTTTAATTTCCAAAACATCTGACTTGAAAATGACCTGTCATTAAAATATTAATATTTTAAAATTATAAAAATTGGAGCTATTGCTGAAATGAATGCTTTTTTACTATGCCTGTTCCTGAAATCGCTGATTTATTTATTAGTCTAAATCTAACATTAAGTCCATTACCTTCCCATTGAAGTCCCAGGTCTGGATAAAGTTCTCTTATAGCCCTTTTTGGTACTTTGCATTAATATGTGAGTTGGTTTTTCCTCCATGTGGAATTATTTGAGAAAGGAGATGCTTTTGAAAATAGTTTCCCATCTCTCCTAGAGATAGCTTCCTTATTACTTTTTTAATTACAGTACTTTAGATTATTTGATTTCTGCACTCCATTGTAACTACCATAAAATTAAACAAAAGATTCCTTTAAATTTTAAAATTAAACAAAAAATTTTAAATTTAAACAAATTTTAAAATTAAACAAAAGATTCCTTTACTAAAGCATTACCTGTCATTTAATTATAAATCTTTATCACTCTTCTGTAAATAGCCAAGGGTGAATAATAGTTATTTACAGATGACAGTTTGTTTTGAAAAGTTTTGCTGTATACTGACATGAATTATGCCTTATTCTTTTAAAAAAATAACCGTAAGAATTTTTTCATAAACTAGTTTTACACTGGCAACAAAGTCCCAGCTCTGGAACCAGACACACATGAATCCAGATTTACTTTTGACCTGAATAGCTTTTTGACTTTGGAAAAACTATCAGTTTTAAATCTTACTGAGTCTGAGTTTGCTTATTTATAGACTAAGGACATCAACACTTGTTTCAGAGTTGTAAGGATTGAAAAAGAAATTGCACACATTAAAGACTGGCTTACAGTAGACAGACACCAAATGAATTCATTTCTCCTAAGGGTATCTGAATGTCTCCACTGCAATACCGGTTGTTTCAGTCTTGAGTAGCTAAGATCTGCTTATAGTATTTCCAAAAGTTTTTGGGTTAATTATTCCATATAGCTGCTTTGATTTTAACCATGTTTAATTCAGTATCTACTCATACATCAATACATAAACATAGATTTAAAAAAAAATACATGGTGTTTTACATTGATCTTGTGTGTCTTTCTTCACTTCCCCTCATCACTTTAGATTTTTCTCATTCTCTTTCATAAATATGCTTTGCAATGGCCTTGTTCACTCTACATACATTCATTCAGCAAATGTTTTCCCCTATACCCACAATAACCACTCAGTTAGGGAGGGTTTTCCTTGCTCGTAATCCTGTGTAACAGAGAGTCGAATTTATATCCCTGCCTCAGTTCAGACTATTTCATGGACTTCCTTAGAGCAGTGTTTAAACATGGTGCGTCTTGACATGTTAGAATACGTCATTCCTTTGGTGGATCATGCCAGAATTATTTATAAGTGAAACAGTGTCGAACAGAAAATAATAAAATGAACAGAAATTATCGGAGTGTTGACTGTCCTTTACAATTCAGCCTCCACCCAACCACTGCAATTTGTGCAAAGAACGAATTCCCTTTCACAGCTTCCTCACATTTCTATACAAATAAGCTACTTCGCCCTCCCTACATTTACCCTCTGCAAAAAAAAGAAAGCTCCTACCAGCCAAGCCTGCTTCAAAGCACCTTCCACAACCTCTGTCCACATTTCCAACCTCTTTTCCCTTCTGAGAATTTAAAATAAGTGCTTTTCTTCATTTTCTTACTTCTTACCTTTCAACTCTTACCAGCTACTCACAGTTTGGCCAGCGACTTCAGTTTTGCAATATTTTAGTATTCTAATGCTTTTTCAAATACATGTTGATTTAGTCTCTCAGAAGAGGCAATAATTCAGTTTTTGTTATTTATGGCCAGCAACACTGTGATGGTCTAATTCTATTTCAAAATTTTTGAAGTCCTTTAAATTAAAGTAGACATGACCCTCTATTTTATGTCACTTATATCGTAAACCCACAAGATCTTTCTGTTATATGGATTGTGTCTTTCTCAGGGACACATTAATTTTCCAATTTTAGAGAATAATCTGATTTGAAACAAAATCAAATTAAAAGCAAAACAAAATGAAAAACTTGATGCCATAAAAGTAAAAGTGAGTCATATGTTTTGTAACCGAGACAAATAAGACAAAGTTCATTTATCAGAATTCTTGCTCTATTTTTTTTTTATTTTCCCATCAGAAATTCTCAGAGAAACCAAACCACATTTAGGATCTGATATTTAGAGTTCTAAGTTCATGTCTTACTTATTCCTCCCCCAGAAAAAGACTCAATATTACCAGTAAGTCCTCTCAGTTTTGTGGATGGTAACAAAATTATTC